CCTCTAAGTGAGAAGAGGGATTGATCTCAGGGGACAGAAGACTATTAAGAGGTAGACAGTGTGGAGCTGGCAATCTGTCCTTCCATGAGGGAGCAGAGAAAAGCCAGGCTGGACTGAAGGTCTTCCTCTTCGTCTCCATGCATCTTTCCACCACAGAGATTATTTTAGGTTTGAGGCATTTCATTTATCTTGAATACCAATCTTTGTGACTGTCTTTGGGGGCGGGGAAAAGAAAACGGGACAGGAGCCTGGATGCTGGAATTCACTTTCCTAGCATTTGGTTTCTTCATTTTTAATGGCAAGCATTAGAATCCAAATGGAGAACCCGCTAATTCAGGAAATGAAAGATTTGGGGCGGAATTATTTAGATAGACTGTGCTTTTAGATAATTATACAAGGCTCTGCTCTACTTAAGCATTGCCCACACAGACTATGTAATGTCATCTGCTATGAGAAACTGTCCCTTCTCCCACAACAGGGTGATTACAGCATTCTGGAAATAAACTCTGTATCAATGTGAGGAGGGGGGGAGGAAGAAAAAGGAAAGCAGAGACATTGAGATCAGTTGCAAACATAAGATCATAGGCATGCAATTTTTTTTTTTAAATAAAGGGGCTATTTGCAGTCCACCGGGTCGCAAAGAGTCGGACCCGACTGAGCGACTGAACTGAATTGATTATGATGAATGAAGTTATCTGCAGATGTGGACCTAGCTAGAATTCTGCTTCTGATTCAGGAGCAACTGAAGTAGGAGTGTTAGAGGATTTCAAGAACAGAGAGAGGATCAAAATCAAGGTAAAGGTGAAGGAAAACCTGGGGGCTGGGGGGGGGGGAGACCAAAACCAAAAGCAAGCCAGAAAACTAAACAAACAAACAAAGCAATAGCAGCAAAGCGAGGCAGAGAGAATCTCGGGGAGTGGACTGGGGCGAGACCGAGGGGGTAGAAGAGGCCGTGACAGGGCAAGGGCCCTGCCGAGCCGGCCGGGGAGCAGGCTGCCCAGAGCAGGACCGAGCTCCGCTCACACGGGACATGAGGCGATAGCCTGCGGGTGAGACACACCGGCCAGGGATGCTCTGAGCGCCCCTCGCTCTACAGCACCCCTAAACTGTGTGGGAAGCCGTGCCCGGGTCCTGGGTCAGCGTGGACCCAAGTTCAGTGGAGATTTTATGTGCCCCCTAATAACAATGACTATTTCTGTTCAAAATTATAAGCACAAGGAATTTACTGCAACTATTTCCATTTTTCTTTTCCTTTTGTCTTTCATAATACCTGAATCTTTTTCTTTCTCAAAGCACGCTAGAGGAAATGAGAGAGGTGAGTATCCATCGAAACTACTGCCATATTTGCAAGATCCGTGAGACCAAATCTGTGTTTTACTCCCTTCTGTCATACTCACGCATCTCCCTCGGTGCCAGGCACGTGTGCGCGCTCATTTGTGCAGTCCTGTCCATCTCTCTGCACCCCCGTGGATGGTAGCTCACCAGGCTTCTCTCTCCATGGAACTCTACAGGCAAGAATGCGGGAGTAGGTTGCTATTTTCTACTCCAGGGGATCTTCCCGACCCAGGAATCGAACTTGCATCTCCTGCATTGGCAGGTGGATTCTTTACCACTGAGCCACCTGGGAAGCCTCTTCTAGGCACACAGGGGGACTTAACCATTACTGACTAATTTCCTTTTTGTTGAAGACTGAAATTGTGTTGTGTCCAAGTTGTAGTGTTCTCAGAGAGCTAATTGATGACTCTTTGCCAAAGTCACTGGATCCATACTCTTCTTGAATTCATGGAGTATTGCAATTCTGAATTGAAATATTTCTTATAATAGTTTTCAATAAACTAAAATTTTTGGTACTAAAATTTTGAGCTATTTTACAATTAAAGTTTTATTTTTAGCTCCTTATATTCATATTAAGAACAAGAACTAAGTCCTACTGCTTAAATGATTTTAAAAAGTACACTTTCAAAACCCTAAGAAATCTGGGTTTGTAGTTTTTAAGGCTTTAATCTCATTCCTCCTTCCATCATATTCTGGTTATTTTGTTAGTGCTGTTCTCAGCACCACCAACTCCCAGCTCTTAGACTTATCTCTTCCATTCAAATACTTCTTTTATTTCTAAAATTTTGTATCATGTGATTTTTCTTTTTTATACCATCCTTTTTCCTTCCCCAAACTGGCCTTTGGCAAATCAATTGGTCTTTATTAACTGCTAATTTATAAAAACAAATCTTGCTTTTCTCCAAAAATCTTACATACTAAAAGTATAACCTTTAATTTCCTTAATTTCCTGATTCATGGAGCTATGTTTTATGTCCTGTTTCTTCACAAGGATGAACATGTTTTGAAATAGTTGCTCCTTGGAATCTCACTTTATAAGGTAATGGGAATCACCTGTAGTTTTCTTTGACTTGTATCTGGCTCATTAAACTCACTGATTCCTCTACATCTAAAAATACCTCTATTGATCAAGTTAGTATCTTCCTAATTCTGAAGCCATAAGTTTCCATTTTAAAAATTTATTTTACAAATAAAAAATTAATTTATTCTACAAAAAAAGCAGGTAGTTACAATCCTGAGATTTATCTTTGCAAATGGAGCATAAAATGTAGAAAATGGAATGATGAATCATGAGCTGCTTGTTCTTATGAAATCATTTATGTGAACAATAAAAATACTGGCTTCTCAGTCCAGGGACTTGCCAACACTCGAGAATGTTCTCGTTTAAAGTCCTTAGTTTATAAACTCTTATAATCTAATTTATATATTTTTTGAATTTGAGTAAAGCATGGATAGATAGGTAGGTAGGTAGATAGGAGATACATCTTGAGTGTTTGGAATAATTTAGTATTGATTTTTGACATAAAACAATATGCTTGATAAAAGTATAAATTTTTATATGAAGTTACTTATAATTAAGTGGTGACAGATAAGTATTTTCATCAAATATACTGCATTATTTCTTACACTTGTCTAGTTCTGAGACAGTTTTGCTACTAACTGATGCAATTTCAATCCATTTGCTATTGAAAATATTTGAGTTTTAATAGTACCTTGGAAGACGAGAGCTTTTCCGAGTTGATGTTAAGGCAGGATGCTCTAGCAACTCTGGCACCCTGTCTAAATTCTTCCTCCATCTTACAAGCTGCGTGACTTTAAATGTGCTTCATCTTTCTGTGATTCAGTTTCCTCATTTTTAACCCGGGATGACAATAGTATTACCTCATTGGGTCATTAACGGTATTAAGATGAGTCAGTGATTGGTTTGATATATAACAAAGAAAGACTCAGTAAGTGATTGAGGAAGTCCGTTCATAACCAGCAGAGATTTGTGTTACATATTCTAACAAACATTCAACCCGCAGAAGAGATCCTTCATGTTATACTCCTTTGAAACACCGTCAGGAACTCACTGCAGAACTTCTCTCTCTTTTTTTTAAACAAACATGACTTGCCATATTTTCAAATGTATATTATTAGTTTTCACTTTCAAAATTTGTTTGCTTGCAAGCACAAGTAAACCCTTCATCTCCTGGAGATCATTAAGTAATTCTCATAAAGCAATTCCTGTAATAAATATGCATGTTGGTTATAAGGGGAGGGGAGGGGAGGTGGACATGTGAATCCTAGGGTATAAGAAAATTCATAATTCTTAAGTATTAAGGACCAGGGTGGATTGAGTCCTAACTCCTAAATAGTGAACTCTCTCCTCCTTCTTATATGAAGTATTAGTCTCATAAATGGCAAAATTTTTCATTTTTAAAATTCGTCTGTGATCTTTTCTTTCTTTCCCTAGGCAAATAACAAATTTTTTTTATTATTAAAGATTTTCTTAATTTAAGACATTTGAAAATTTAACAAAATCTTTTTCTAAATTCAAAGAAACCTCTATATATAAATAATTTTTTCCTGGTTCTCCACTTCCATTATCAAATGGGGCAGAGAAGAAGTTTGCTTAATTCTGTCCTTGAACTTCCCCTTCCCAGAAGTGGAAGTGAGTTAAGTTAGAGGCCCAACAGTTAGGTTTTGCCTGGGGGAGAAAAATTCACAGAATAGGTGATACTTGTAGTAGAACTTTTTATTATCCTTAAGGATATTAACTTATCCCTTAGATAAGAGGAAAACAGAACTATCTTGTGAAGCTCACTGAAATAGTTCAGAACTTCAGGGAAGAAAATCCATCTTGAAAACTATCTAAGTGTTCCCAGTGCTGGGTACCTGTAGGGGTGGACGACAGGAGGAAGAGATGCTTTCATTGTTTTCCCTTCAAGAGATGGGCTTGCTCAAAGATATTCTGGGCCTAGAACTCAGAGTGATGCTTAGACTATCTCTCCAGCGGAGGCAGCAATCTGGAGGCAACTGCTTCCCACAAATGTAAATTCTGGAACTCTGGGCCCAAGTGGTCTTCGGGTCTCAGTCAATATTGAGTCAGTAAGAGAAGAAAAGTCTTGAAATTCTCAAATCCTAAATGTTGAATAAGCAAATGTCAACACATCTCAAATGACATCTGAAGAGTAACCCTTTCCAATGGACATTTTGGATTCATAGACATGCTCTTTCTGAAAATAAAAATACACGAATGTGTATTTCTGAATGAACATTATTTTACTGTTAGACCAAGCCTTCAGATCAGCCTAGTCCATGGGAAAAATTAAGTAGAAAGAGAATGTGTGCATGCAGGTAGAGAATCTGTCAGTTATGCTAAGACTTGGAAAAAATGAAATTAATATTTAGAATGCTAGGTGTATTCTAACCTCATCCTTGGACTCATTGACCAGGAAAAAACAAATTGTTATTCCAAAAGCCAGAAATAATGTCTGTCTGCTGACCTCATTAACCAGCGGATTCAAATGAGGTCATTGTATTATTTAGACGTACTTTTCCGCTCAGGGACATCATTCAGATGAATCCCGAGTCCCCTCTCCCTCCCTCTTTCCTGTGAGCATCCCCAGGGATGATCCCCGTGGGCTCTGAGCAGGTCTGGACACATCACCCCCACGACGTACAGTGGCCCAGGCCTCAGCTTCAGCAGAGAGCAGACGACGTACAGTGGCCCAGGCCTCAGCTTCAGCAGAGAGCAGACGACGTACAGTGGCCCAGGCCTCAGCTTCAGCAGAGAGCAGTGGCAGTCTTGCAGTGTCCAGGGCCATCACGCTCCTGAACGCCACTTGCTTCCCACGGGTCATCACCTGATGGCTCTCTGGAAGATGAGGCGCGGCCTCTTCCTGTTGGGGTTGGCTCTCTCGGCACAGGTGGTCAGCAGAGATGTGTGTGACCCCACTGTGCGAGCTCACGAAGCTCCAGTCCAAACCTTCATCCCCGCAGTGTGAGGAGGGCTTCGGGCTGTCTGCTGTGACGGGGGGCCCCCGGAAAGCCCGCCCTAGACCAGGTCTGCTCCTCCCCTCCAGCGCTCAGGTTGGGTCAGTTCTCTCAAGGACCCCTTCGCCTCCTCCGTAGAGTTTGTCTTCTGCTATTTCCCCCTCTCCTGGGGGGTTTGGGACCCCCTGGGGGCTCAGACAGTAAAGCATCTGCCCACAATGAGGGAGACCCGGGTTCGATCCCTGGGTTGGGAAGATCCCCTGGAGAAGGAAATGGCAACCCACGCCAGTACTCTTGCCTGGAAAATCCCATGGACAGAAGGAGCCTGGTGGGCTACAGTCCATGGGGTCGCAAAGAGTCGGACACGACTGAGCGACTTCACTTTCTTTTCTTTATTTCCCCCTCTCCTAGTTAATCAGGCACAGACCCTCATTGGGTCCCCATCCGAGACAACTTTCTCACAAGTTTCTTCTTGATCAGGACAAACTTTAAAAAGCTAGTGGAACTTGAATTATTGCTGTTAAAATAACCCCATCTGTACCATAGATGTACTTGGAAAATTAATTATGTTTATATACGTTTATATAAATATGTTTAAATATATATTATGTTTATATGTTTATATAAACATATAAATATGTTTATATATCTCAGAAATACATATTAGATATGTTTTACTTTTACCACCCTAACAGATATAGAAGGTAAACATCCCCTAAGAAATGATCCCTTGTGTTTCATCACTTTAGACAATTTTGGCTGAGATTAATGAAAATTATAGTTTCCATTTCTTTATCTTTGATCTATAAAAGTATAGGAAAATACCAGGTTTAGCTGGTCTCCAGAAAATGGTTTAGGCAATTACAATTAACAATGAGTTGCTACTTTAAAGTAGATCTTATATAAGAGAAATGTTCTTTCCTTTTTGGTAGCTGCTTATCAACTAAGATGAGTCACTAGTAATGTTTACTTCTTTGTGAATTGACAGGAAAACCATAAACAAATCTCAAAGGAGACAGATGAATAAGGTTTCAAGGACATTACTGCTTCTGCCTGAAACTTTAACCAACTGAAAGCCTGAAAATATGAACTCAGAATTTCACTGCTTCCTCAAATTGCAAGTGGACACATGTGAAAGATATTAGGACTTTTTAGCCTGACTGCTCACAAAACAACTTGAAGCAATCACAGTAAGTCAGTATATAATGAATCATGAAAGCAAAACTAACATCTAGAGACATTAGAGTTAGAGATGACAGTCCCTATTATGGACTGAATTGTCCCCCCATTCACATGTTAAATCCTAACACCTATATCTCAGGATGTGACTGAATTTGTACCTAAACCCTAACCCTTTAAGAGGTAATTGAGGTAAGTTGGTGCTAGTGGTAAAGAACCCACCTGCCAATGCAGGAGACAGGAGAGACGTGGGTTTGATCCCTGGGTTGGGAAGATCCCCTGGAGAAGGGAATGATAACCCGCTCCAGTATCCCTGCCTGGAGAATCCCATGGACAGAGGGGCCTGGGGGGGCTGCAGTCCATGGGGTCACAGTCAGACATGACTGAAGCAACTTAGCACAGAAAGTAAATGAGGTCGCTGGGGTGAGGCCAAATCCAATGCGACTGGTGTCCTTACAAGAAAATGAGAATATGGCACAGACAGGCACAGAGGGAAGATGGTACACAGACAAAGGACAAAGACGGCCATCTGCGAGCCAAGGAGAGAAGTCACACGAGGAAACCAACCCTGCTCACACCTTATCTTGGGATTCTGGCCTCCAGAATCGTGAAGAAATACATTTCTGTTGTTTAAGTCCCTCGGTCTGTAGTATTTTTTATGACAGTACTTGCAAATGAATGCAGCCCCACACCAAAAACTTTCCCCCAAAGCTCATACAAAGGCGGGAGATCCATGACTCTTTCTCTTGGAATCATGAATTCTATTCATATTGTGCTTATAATGTTCAAAGCATCTTCATGTCTATCAGCGCCTGTGTGCCTCATAACAATTCCGTTGGATGGAACTGAGGCTGAGAGGAGAGCCTAGTTTTGCTAGAAAGTGAAAGTGAAGTCGCTCAGTTGTGCCTGACTCTTTGTGATCCCGTGGACTATTGCCCACTGGGCTCCTCCATCCATGGAATTTTCCAGGCAAGAGTACCGGAGTGGTTTGCCATTTCCTTCTCCAGGGGAATCTTCCTGACCCAGGCAGGGATCGAACCCAGGTCTCCCACATTGCAAGCAGACGCTTTACTGTCTGAGACATCAGGGAAGCCCCACATTTGCTGGATGGCAGACTAAACCGGCCCCAAGCCTCTTGATTCAGTCACGAGGCAACCGCTAAGGTCGAAGGGCATGGGTAGACCAGTACTCCACGTTCCTGAAGCCTGAGGGAGCGTAAGGCATGAGGTGACCTGCCCAAGGGATGCCCAGCAGGAGTAGCCTGCCGGGGACCGAAGGCAGGTCTTCAGACTTGACCCAGTGACGCTCCCACTGCCCCATGAGAGAAAGGTATGCACTTCCTGTGCAGTCCCCAGGGTTTCCTAACTTCCTTCCTCCAGCTTGCCGAGGAGATGCCAGCTCTCAGGACTGCAGGGAGGACAGCCAACCAGGCATACACCTGACAACTTGTGAAATAAATCCCTAACGCCACAAGACAAGTGTGTATACCGAGACATCCTTAACTTCTGTTCCTAAAGAAAAAGAAAGGGCCAATCTCTATATGATAAAATAAAAATAAGTAGTAATAACACAGAACACTCCCCTCCCTAAACACATACATGCTGTTATGACATTTTAGGGAGGAAATGCATTACTCTACATATAAAAAGTCATCTAAAAAGCTTATTGTGGGGTTGGGGGTATACAGAGATTTGAATAACCACAGAGAATTTGCAGGAGAGGAAAGGATATCTAATAATCAATTTTAAGTCTAGATTAGAATGCATATATGAGTCTAGTATATAAACTCCACTGTGTAATTCCAACCTGGATGTCTTCATGTAATTTTCAGTAGGGAGCGGCATTACTTTCCAATGACTTAGGAGTTGGACTTGCCTTTCTTTCATTTTTCTTCCTTTCCTTTCTTTCTTGCTTTCTCTCACATGCAATATCAGACTAGTACTGGTCGTAAAATGGGCCAGTTTTATTTGAATCACAATTATTTTCCATTAGGTTCACTGAGGAGTAAGTGAGGGTAAGGATTCAAGTATGTGAGCTACTGGTAACCAATGAGAAAAACTTGAAACTGTTCAGATCACAAAATGCGACTCTTGCACAAAGTCTTCTGGATCAGCTAATACTTCTTAACAAAAGCCCCTCCTGGGATTAAAAAGAAATACTAGTCTGTTTGTCTTTCTGATTCTCTCTGTGTGTCTCTTTCCTTTGTCTTTTACCATGTATCACTCCATCCATCCATCCGTCCGCTTTCATATCTATCTGTATAGTCTATTAAGACATTTCTCTTCATCGACCTTTGGCTTACAAAATTTTCCCCTGGGAAAGCTTCAAACGAGAAAAACTGTCCCCAGTTAAAATAAAACAGAGTGAAACTCAGAGCTCCTGTTTATAGCTTAACTTTCCCTGTGAGCTGGTGAGTGACTCGCTGTCTCTCACCTACATGAAATAGAGCCAAGGGGTGAAGGAGCGAAGGATAACACAACCTTAAACCTAAAAGGGGGGAAAATCTTTATAAAGCAGGTCCCAATTACCCTAAGTGTTTTATCAGAATCCTCTCTTAGTCTTTTTAATATAGGTCAGTTCCCAGGTATAAGACGAAACCATCCAGAAGGCCATCATATCCAGCCAGGGATTCCTAGAGAGGAAGGCAGGGTCTTGGTTGAAAGGATGCTCTTGGAGACTCCTTCAGCAAGTCCCTAGGTAATTGTCTGAGAGTCTAGAGAATTGGTGGCTGTTTGCATGAAACTCACAGGGATTCCAGGTGACCTCCGGAGACTCCTCTGAGATGCCATGTGATCTTCATTAGCTAAGGAAGCCAGCAAGAAGGCCAGAGCCTGGGAACAGAATGCACGTGCATGAGAATGCTTAGGCAGTGACAGGCAGGACACTGATGTCAGACACTAGTCAGCAGGCCTTTCAAAGTAAGAAGGGGACCTGAAGAGGAGTCAGAATCCCCAGCCCGCCCGGCGCTTAGATGAGGATGTTCTCCTGTTCGGAGATCCCCCTCGCAGCACGGTGGGGAGGCTCGCCTTTCCATCAAGGTCACTCATTCCAGCTAGCCTGAGAGCTGTGGGCACCTGTTCGTTCTTTATTTAGTAAGAGGCCACTCTGCAGTTGACTTGCTATTCTGCACTGTCTCCTCTATTTTTATGCCTTACATAAACTGGATTCCCTGGCTCATGTGCCACCTCCATCCTGACCCTCTCATCTGCTCCACCCTACCCCAAACATACCTCCATCAACAAATACAAATATTTTAGTAGAAAGGCTGGTTGTCCTTGGCTGAATTATCCTCTTGCTTAGACCATGGGGCTACCCTTGAGTTTCTCCCCTGTTTGACTTAATCATATAAAGGACTTTCTATATATTCCTCTATATACATTCCTCTTTGGAGAATATTATCCTTAAAATAATTCCCAGTTCTTTTTTCTAAAAATAGGCTTCCCTGGAGGTTCAGACAGCAAAGAATCTCCCTGCAATGCAGGAGACCCAGGTTTGATCCCTGGGTAAGGAAGATCCCCTGAAGAAGGGAATGGCAACCCACTCCAGTATTCCTGCCTGGAGAATTCCATGGACAGAGGAGCCTGGTGGGCCACAGTCCATGGGGTCATAAAGAGTTGGGCATGACTAAGAGTCTGACTTAGTTGTACCTTCACTTGCCTAAAATAGATCCTCTTCTAGGTCTTTAACATTTACTTACTTTTTGGGGGTGGGATCTTTAAAAGAACCAAATTAAAATGCAAAATGTTCTGAAAAATATGAAGCTTTATTAGCAAACGCTTTAAACAGCAAGCAGTTGAGACAAGACCCTATTGATGCTTGATGACAAATAATGGGCTCATGACACTCACATCAGCATTTTCAGCTCATAGTTCTCTCTTGAGCTTCAGACCTAAATACAACATGGAGACAAGGAGGTATTCTCTCCTAATTGTTGACCACACCCTTCATACTCCACCTGTCCCAAGCCCACCTCCTTTTTTTCTTCCAAGTCTTTCAATATTCCTTCCTGTTCTCATGGAAGTTTTATATTCTGTTTTTTTTTTAATTGAAGGATAATTGCTTTACAGAATTTTGTTGTTTTCTGTCAAACCTCCCCATGAATCAGCCATAGGTACACATATATCCCCTTCCTTCTGAACCTCCCTCCCATCTCCCTCCCATCCCACCCTCTAGGCTGATACAGAGCCCCTGTTTGAGTTTCCTGAGCCACGCAGCAGATTCCCGTTAGCTGTCTATTTTACATGCGGTAATGTAAGTTTCCTTGTTACTCTTTCCATACATCTCACCCTCTCCTCCCCTCGCCCCATGTCCACAATATTCTTTTTTTTTTACAGTTCAGTTTAGATGATGGGTAATGAACATGCAAATCCATTGTATCAGGTGGTGAGAAGCACCAAGAAAGCGGCGCATGGTCCCAGGAGAAAGGGGAGCTGGCTGTGGTGGAAGGCCTCACTGCTGACTGACATTTGAGCAGACCTGGGGACTTGAGAGCCAGGTGGCTGTTGGGAAAAGAGAGTGCTTCATGCAGCAAGAAAAGCAAGCACAAATGACCTGAGAAAAGAGATGGAACCTAAGAGGACTGGGGAAATCAGATACGGACTTTGGTGGGGAGGTCAGTTATTATATAATATTAGAGATCATGGCCAATAGTATAAAATAAGAAAAAGAATACATTGTGCAAGAATGGAAAAGTAGGAAATAATCTTATTAGAACTAATAAGGCTTTAAAATGACTGCAGAATACAGGGTCAATGTTTCTCTCTACCCTATGAATTTGCACACTTTTCTTGTAAAAAGCAAGTTAGTAAATGCTTTCAACTTTGCAGGCCTTAAAGTCAGTACACATTTGTGGTGTGAAAGCAATAGACAGTATGTAAATGAGTGGACATGGCAGCATTTCAATAAACTTTACTTACAAGAACAGGTGGTGGGTCAGATTTGGCCCCTATATAGTTTGCCAACCTCTACGCTACATCAACAACTACCAAGCAGAAAATGGTATAGAAAATGAAATACTTTTCACAATAATAGCAAAGCTATAAAATATCTAAGAGTTAACTTAGCTGATACAGTATAATACCTTCACAGAGAACATTTTAAAATGCTCCTGAGAACATTAAGAATGATGTGAATAAGTGGAGAAATATATCATGTCACAAATGGTAACTTTCATAGTAAGGTTGTCAGTATGCCTACAGAATAACCTCTGACTTATTATAAACCAAAAAAGAAATTTAGCAACATTTTTTGAAATATATAAACACTTACTCTAGAGTTAATATGGGATGTAAAACCCATGAACAACTCAGCAAGACTAAAACAAGAGCAACGACAGGAGCCATTTCCGCTAGATATTAAAATTACAACGCCTTAATAATAAAGAGAATGGCAGTGGTGGAGAACAGACAAATAAACCACTGTAGGTGTAAAGAAAGCTAATATATATGCATATATATTTCATATATATATAGTTTTACATGTATGTAAACTCATAAAAACCAATGAGGGACAATTCGTTGTTCAAGAGGTTATGTTGGGAAATCTCAATCAGAATGTGCAGATTAATAAACTGGATCTTATATAAAGAAAAATACCAGATTAAAGATATACATATAAACTTATGAAGTCAATATAATAAGTGTAGGGGTGATGTTTATGGCCTTGTGGGAGAAAATACATGCATTTAAGCAAGACAAAGACATATATGCCTGTCAAACTTATAAATTTGACTATATCAAAATTAAGGATTTCTCTTTTACGAAGATGCTATGGGCAAAGTTAATATATGACAGAATGGCAGAAGACACCAATAATATCTAAAACTGCCAAAGGATTAATATCTTAAAAATAGGAAACTTTTGCAAATCAGAGAAAAAGAAAATGGACAAGCACTAGAATAAGAATCACACGAAAAATGAAAGTGAATGCATAAGAAGTCCTCAAATTCATTAGTAACCAAAGAAACGCAGATTAAACAATAAGACATCACTTTAGAGTCATCAAATGAGAAAATTTTAAAAATTTGGATACTGCCCAGTACTGATGAGGGCATGTAAAAACTGGAAGCCTCGTGCATTATTGATGAGAGCAGAAGATTCAAGTCACTTTGAAGAAAAATCTGATAGGACTTAGTGATAGCCATCAGCAAAAAGCCTAGAGACCCAGCTATCCCACTCTTGGCTATAAATCTCAGGGAAATGCTCTCAAAGTCCATTTTGTAACATTTGCAAGGGTATTCATTGCAGCATTATATGTTTCCTGGAAATCAGATATTATTTGTTTGCAACAAAATGCCATTATGTACTTTTAGTTCAGTTCAGTTCAGTTACAGTCGTGTGCGACTCTTTGCGATCCCATGGACTGCAGCGTGCCAGGCCTCCCTGTCCATCACCAATTCCTGGAGCTTGCTTAAACTCATGTCCATCGAGTCAGTGATGCCATCCAACCATCTCATCCTCTGTCGTCCTCTTCTCCTTCCACCTTCAATCTTTCCCAGCATCAGGGTCTTTTCAAATGAGTCAGTTCTTCTAATCAGGTGGCCGAAGTATTGGAGTTTCAACTTCAGCATCGGTCCTTCCAATGAATATTCAGTACTGATTTCCTTCAGGATTGACTGGTGGCCTGGTATTCCCACCTCTTGAAGAATTTTCCACAGCTTGTTGTGATCTGCACAGTCAAAGGCTTTGGCATAATCAATAAAGCAGAAGTGGATGTTTTTCTGGAATTCTCTTGCTTTTTCTATGATCCAGCAGATGTTGGCAATGTGATGTACATTCAAAACTCTTACAAGTATTGTGTACAACCTAGTCGAAAATTAGGTGTCTGTCAGAGAGGAGGACGTCCTCGGGGGATCAGGAAAAGTGTGGATGAGGGAAAGGGGACTGGAAAGGTCTTGATCACAGAGCATGATGGAGTGCCCTTGAGTGAGGGCATGATCAGCTCTCCACATGAGCTTCAAGAAGAGCAAACGCACCGTGACATTTCTGTGCTACAGCAAAGAACGAAATCATGGGTGAGCATGACACAGAAATGCAGACATGCCAAAGACAATGTAGAAAAAAGTAGAGACTGCCGTGACTGAGTGATAAAAGTAAGGGAAAAGGCTTCCTTTTATTATCTTTTGCTGCTCGTGTTAAGGAGACTTTTATTTTAAAAGTAAACATAATATGAGAGACATTCTAACTGATAATTTTTATAAGTGCTTAAAACTTTCACTTAAACTTTCTACTTTCAGTAAACAAGCAAAACTGATCGTCTGAGTATAATGACTGCTTTTTTAAATATAACTTAAGATTACTGTATTTACTTATAAGAGGAACATTTTAATATATTTTACAAGTGTCAAATTGGGCATACATCAAATCTAACATTATGGTAGTTTTATTTGGAAGTGAACTTTTAACTCTCAATACAAATGCCAAGAGTACTATACAAAACATCCACAGGAACTTTTTTCATCTATTTTTGAAATGTTCGCAAATATTTCCTACATAACCCAACATACAACAGAGAAATGGTACATCTTTTTTTTTTTTAATTTACATTTGGGAAAAAACAAAGTTTAATGAATGGACACCAACAAGCTGACAATTCATAGGTGAGAAATTCATAGGTAAGGTCACTTCCATAACCAAGTATTATTCTGATTAATAAAGCTTGCTGCCATTAGGCTTCTTCCATCTGCAGTGTTGCTCCCCACCTTGGTTCTTCACAATTACAAACAGAAAATCATTGCAAAGTAGGGGCAAGCATTTGCAAAAACAAACAAAACTCCCCAGGTTATTATAAGCATGAACGTGTGGTGGAATTTTCTCCCAAGCAGTGAACTTTCAAATCATTAAGAAAACACCAGAACTGAATGTGTCAAGATATTTTGCCTAAGTCCAAGAAGAGACACATTTGTTTATATTCAACAGAGGGCTAAAAATTAAACTTCAGGTCCAGTTTAGGGGAACTGAGCCATTTGAAAAATGACCATCTTAAAAAAAAAAATGACCACCAAAAATAGTTTCACTAAATTTATTCTACAAATCCTAAGACATCTCTTACAAAGTGCACTAAACTCTGCACACCACTTGGAATAGAAGCCAAGGACATGTGGACTGCTAGAATTTTTTCTCCCTGTCCCACTCTCCAAATGTTACAGTGACCACAAAGCCAAGTGTTCACAATAATTACCTGGGGGGATTTTTTTGGCCCTTCTTAAATGTTTTGTTTCATAATATTTATCATGAGAGGTTTTTCGGCTCTTTCTAAGATGACATCATGATTTTATTTCTTTCATTTATTTGACAACCTTTTATTCACTTTTCAATGCTGAGCATGGTAGCTCCCGGTCATGAACCTTGAGACAGGAGGACCCTGGGCTCCGCTTCAGCACCTACTGCTGGCAGTGTGAAGGCTAAAGATCTTTCATGCAACCCCCTAAGTCCTGCATCAAGAGTTGCAAAGCTCTCGCCTTAGTTTTTCTTGAGAACCCACAAAAGCTAAATTGACTCACTCCAGCCCACCAAGGCCCATTTTTCTTGTTTCGCGCACATGGAATGATCTTGCTTGTCCTTGGCCATCTATGTCTGCGAACGGCTGCCTCACTCTCTGTTGCGTTCTTTGTTCTTTTTTCCTGTCCAGGCTCAGTTCCTGTAACACATAAAATCTCTGTTCACACCAGCCAGGGCTGCCCCCCTTTCAGAATGCCATTCCTGCTGACAGCAAAGGAAATGGTATCTGGTAGTTGCTGTACTTTGACAGCCTCGAGTTCAGGCCCTTTCTAAAGTTAGGGCTTTAGAGTCCATTGTGTACTTGGGGGCATCATACAAGCATTGGGCACACTTTCACAAAGTCCTGACATCTGCTCTCAGGACCAGTGGACTTGCTACCACTGAGTCTTCCCTGGGGCTTCGCTGGGGGTTCAGATGGTAAAGAATCTGCCTGCAACGAGGGAGGCCCAGGTTCGATCTCTGGGTTGGGAAGATCCCCTGGGTTAGGAAATGGCAACCCACTCCAGTATTCTTGCCTGGAGAATTCCATGGACCGAGGGGCCTGGGGGGTTTAGTCCATGGGGTCGCAAAAAGTCAGACATGACTGAGTGACTAACACTACGCCCAAGTCTCCCATGTGCTTCCCAGGTGGCTTAGGTGAGGAATCCACCTGCCAAGCAGGAGACGTGGGTTTGATCCGTGGGTCGGGAAGATTCCCTGGAGAAGGAAATGACAACCCACTCCAGTATGCTTGCCTGGGAAATCTATGGACAGGGGAGTCTGGCGCGCTGCAGTCCATGGGGTGGCAGAGAGTTGGACCTGACTTAGCGACTAAACCACCACCAACTCCACCAGCACACCTGCTGTTCTCTGGCCTTCAGACTTGAAGGGAGGGAACGTGATCCGCGAGCCCATTGCTTCCTTCATTCCTTCACTCTCCTCCCTTCTAGATTAATGGGTGTGCATAAGCCTGAAGCCAGATGCCTCAGTTGGAATACCATCGCCACTTCTTGCCATCTGTGTCCCCTTGGGCAAGATATTTAACCTTTTTGTGTCTGTTTCCTTATCTGTACACTGGGAGAAATACCAGTCACAATCTGATAGATTTGATGTGAAGATTAATTGGAAAGCTTATCAAGCTTGCTGCTGTCAGCCCCTGAAGGCTCTGTGCCTGGGTTGTCAGCTGAACCAGACAGACAGAATCCCTGCCTTCAGGTCGCACCTGGCTTACTGAGAGCCAACCATCTGAAATCTAACATCCAAGTTACAAACACTAAACGCAAAGTCCCAGATCCGCATGCCAAACACTAGGGCTCTTGACGCCTTCAACCATGCTCTCCGCTCTCTCAGATGGCACCAAGGCTTTCACAGATCCCCCCTCCCTAACTTCTCACATCTCTGTTCTCAAACCCCTGAGCTCTGGACATTGTTTAATATCACAGCCATCTGTTTTGATATCCCCTCTCTCCGGAAGTGCAAACACAGGGGTACAAGAAAGAGAATACCTAGCAGGAAGTTGTGAGTCCAGTTGTAAACAGAGCAAAAACAATATACTTATAAGCCCCTGGGATGGTCAGGGAACAACTGATATAAGTGGAGTCTTTTTCATTGGATTTTTAGTAATATATCAATGAGGAAAGACATCACATGTAGTACCACTGGTTAAAGGAACTGTGGGAAAGTTTTATGAGAAGTTACAAAACTAAATTTGGCTCAAGAAAAGCTGAAAGACAATTCATCCACAATGTATAGCCTATGTAAGGACCCACCTGGTTTATGTGCATCCAGGTGTAAATCTGATAACTGATAAGAAATCAGCCTCATCACAGGTGAGGTGTAGAAAAGAAAATAGACTATTTGAAGGAAGACACTAATTCCAGTGAAGACTTGATTGCTGCAAACGATGATGTAATTAATCCCTTCTGGATTCAGGCATACTATTAACAGTTCAACCCAAATGGACTTGGCCTACCTGCTGTTCACCAACCCTCAAAAACTGTACAAAACAGGTGTAATATGAATGTGAGAGTTGTGTGTATATAAACCAAGTAATGAAACAGTAAAGCAATCAAAGTGGTATAATCAAGACTTTAACATTTGGAACTTGGATATCTTGGTGAGTCATATTAAACTTCATCCACCCTTGATGTCTTAAGTTTAAAGATAAAATTTGCCTTTTACTTTTCAAGTTTGTAGCTAAGTCTCAGCCATCATCAGTCCTTTGTCACCTGATGTTGAAGACAATGAAATATGGGATATTAGGTTCCCTTATGCAGAGAGGGAGTTGAGAAGGGTTGGATAGACTGAGAGGTTGACCTGTCCTTAGGGGAGGACTCAGGTCCTGAGATTAGAAATTTATTTTCAGTAGTCCAGGTTCTGGAACAAATCTGACCTAAAGCATAAAAATAGTTGGTATCATTTGGGTCTTGAATCTTCCAGGTAGGTGGTCTGGTGGAATGGGAGAAGGATCAAAGTATGCAATTCCTTTGCTTTATTAATGGTGTACTGACAACTGAATGCTATCCTACAATCATGGGTCTCCAGTCTTGCCTGGAGACTAGCTAGGTTTTTAGAGGCTAATGTACATTACTCCCTCATG